CTGCCCTTAGTTTTTTGACATTTCTTAAAATAAAGTCAGTCAGAAATAAAAACGATTTGGCCAAATTTTAGTTTTTCGAAATGACTAATTTCTCAGTGTATGCAATGTGCGCAATTTATTTAATAAAACATAGGGTGTCAACCCCAACACACAAGTAGATGAGTATGCGAGGCTCACCTAGTTTCCTGCACAGATATCCTGTTTCCTTCAGACGATTTGGAAGTAGACCTAATTTTCACTTTGGAGACACTTGACACCCACGTCACAACACCAAGGCACCACTGAGAGACAATTGAGTACCCTATAGTGAACACCACTACTCAAACAAAGTAGCTAAACCGAATAGAGCTCTGTACGGAGCTTCGCACGCGTGGACATTCCGCTGCGCCGGCGGTTGCCGAGAGACTGAAGCTTGATGTATGCTGTACCTCGCTGCGGCGATACGGTACGGCCGGGTAGTACAGCCACGCCCCTTCCAGCTCCCACTCCGCGCGTCTGCTCTCGAGGCGGCTCGATGTTTACGTTGACCGGTAGCAAATGCGCGGAGTGGGAACTGGAAAGGGGCGTGGCTGTACCGTATCGCCGCAGCGGCATGTCTACGCGTTCACAGCTTCATGCAGAGCTCTATTCGGTTTAGCTACTTTTTTTTCAGTAGTAGTGTTCACTATAGGGTTCTCAGTGGTGTTTTAGTGTTGTGACGTGGGTCTCAAGTGTCGCCAAAGTGGAAATTAGGTCTACCTCCAACTGTTCTAAGGGAAACAGGATATCTGCGCAATAAACGAGGTGAGCCTTGCATACTCATCTTGTTGTGTGTCAGGGTTGACATCCTATGTTTTTTTTTAATAAATTAGCACATTGCAAACACTGAGAGATTAGTCATACAACTGAGGTACATATCAATCGCCAGATCAATATTAATCAAAGAATCACTTCCAAAACGACTCATTTTCACTACATAAGCTGACTAGCACTGTTTAAAAACAATATTACAATTTAGCTTAGCGGACGTTTTCTGCTGTCCTAGGAGGCCATAATTACTTGTTATCAAAGGTACTTGTAACAACCAGGCACTAGCTCTTACAATGCTCCCATTTTGGTAATACAGTTTTGATATTTCTACCCTTTCTTGAACTGAATAAGTCATTGTTAAATATTTATCACAACTAGGTAGGTAGCTTAACAATTTGAAATGAAAGACAGAGTTCCTCAATGACATACGATGACACTGACTGATGCTAAATGTTCTTGCTGGTATCCATGATTATTATTTTTTGCCATGCATTCCATTATTATTAGTATTAAGTTAGTCGATTTTATTATAAACTCAAATAGCTTCACAATGATTGAAGATAGGTATAAACTTTATTATACAAAAGTTACTAAAAACAGCATGGAAAATCTAAAAGTTAAAAATTTCAAGTGTAATCTAAAGTGTATCTAACGAAGCTACAAAGTAATCGTAAACAGTGGTTGATTCGTGATCAACGCGTGATCGGTAGCCATGGCGCTCTGTCGGCCTCTTCCTGATTGGCTTGTAGCGACGAGCCTCCAGACAAAGTCGCACGGTTGCCACGCTCGGCGAGTTTTCGCCAGAGTGGTTGATCACATTCGCATGGATCACAAATCAATCTGTTGGTGCAATACGTGCAATAACTGTTTATAGTTAAATTTTTCCTAAGAGATAGCATCAGTGAGGGAATTTTTTCTATTGTCTTATTTTTCACATTAATGCGATGTCGAGGTATGTGGCCCTATCGCAATTGAAAATAAGGTTTCGATAATCCTTCCATAAAGTTTCGATGAGTACATCTGAAATAACCTTGAGATATTCTTCAGGGAAATACAAAAATCTCCTTTTGTGTTTTTTTGTGCAGATTTATCTATTAAAATCCTATCCGCAATCTATTTTCCGTGCACACACCTTCAACCGAATGTATGCCATATATGATATTACCGTTTCCAACTTTCACCAAGGTTAATAGGAACCATAACAGCTCCCTACCCTTCCCCCCTATAAGAATATCGATTTGTAGCCTCACATTTCAAGGTTAGACTTCTTGTAATGTTTCTGTTCAACTATTCGGCGATTTCTGACAATTTTCCCAATAAAACATGATCATTGTGACATTAAGCCTGGCAACGCTGCATAGTAGAGGGAACTCTCAGCGTCACGTTGATGGTTCGTCACCACGCACAGGATTGTAATCAGTTACGGATACCCGTTTATGAGCGCGAACGTTTTATGCACGTCTTGACTTGATTTTTCTTGCGGAAATTTAATATTAGTCTAAAATGTCTGACACAGATACAGCTGATGAAGTGGTTGAAATCAGCCTAACGTCACCCAGAAAAAGGGCTAAAAAGCTTCATCTTAGCGCAGGTGAAAAACAAATTATTCTAAATATCTACAAGAACCAGATGCAAGAGAATAGTGGATTGGCTATAGAAAATATCGTATGTAAGGTTGCTGAAATTTCTGGAGTAGGTCGATCAAGTGTTTACAAAATCTTGAAGGAATATAGACAAAATCACTCACTATCTGAGCCAAAAACATATCCAGCGAGAAAAAAAATCATCGAAAAAATAGATGACTTTGACAAAAGTGCCATTAGAAGAAAAGTACATCACTTTTTCTTCAGGAATGAACTACCTACAATAGATAAAATATTGAAGCAAGTGAATGATGATGAGGACCTGCCAAATTTTAAAAGATCTACGTTCCATAAGCTGTTGAAAGAACTAGACTTTCGATTTTTGAAAAGAGGAAGGAATAGTTTATTGATAGAAAAGGAGGAAATTGTTATCTGGAGGAGAGAATACCTTAGAAAAATTAGACAATTCCGCGCTGAAGGAAGAAAAATTTATTATTTAGACGAAACATGGGAGAACGCGGGGCATACTCAGGGAAAGGTTTGGGTAGACAGATCTGTGAGGTCCTCAAGGCAGGCTTTTTTAGATGGCCTTTCGACGGGATTGAAAAATCCTGCGGGTAAGTTTCGAAGTATATGAACTTTTTTGGATGCAGATAATTCATTTTCTGATCGAATCAATGATTTGGAAGCTCCGAACTCAGTTTTGCTATCTCATCCAAGTTTCTGAGTATTTCCTTCACCCAAAAACTAATCTAAGACCCTATCCTACACTAACCTAAAAAGAGTAAGTTGCTTAATTTCGTCATTTAGTGCGCTCGCTGAGAAGTAAAATAACTAATTACTTTCAGGCAAGGGAAAACGCCTGATCATTTGCCACATAGGTAGCGTAGATGGATTTGTTCCTGAAGCATTGTGGGCATTTGAATCCAAAAAAACTGGAGACTATCACGAAGAAATGGATGGTAACTCATTTGAAAATTGGTTCAAAAAAATTTTGCCGACACTTGATGATAACGCAATTATTGTGATGGATAATGCCCCGTACCACTCCAGAAAATTGGAAAAAATTCCAACAATGGCCAGCAAAAAGGCAGACATTCAACAGTGGCTTGTCTCAAAGAAGATCGACTTCGACCAAACAATGGTCATAGCTGAGCTGATAAATATAGTCAAGCGACATAAGTATAAATATGATTTAAAAATTGTTGACGAAATGGCCAAAAACCAAAATAAAACTATTCTCAGGCTGCCTCCCTATCACTGCGAACTGAATCCTATCGAGTTAATTTGGGCCGACATCAAGCAATACGTGGCATCAAATAACAGCACTTTTAAGTTTTCTGACCTTAAAAAACTGTTTGATGTTGCTGTCGATAGAATTACGCCAGCAAAATGGAGAACATGTATTGACCATGTCCAAGAGAAGGTTGAAACCAAAATGTGGGATATGGACAATATCATTGACACCCAAGTTGAACCCCTTATAATTGACATCAACAATTCTGATGATTCAAGCTCCTCGGAATACAGCATATAAATCGATTGATACCATTAAGACTGGCAAATTAACGGGCTTTTTGGCAAGACAGGTAAGTTCATTATAGACTGCAATCAAAGTGTAAGTTTCTAGTTATTAATGTGGAAATTCCAAATTTATAATTACACAAAATTAGGGTTAATTTAGGAGTTCCAAAGCATAATAGTGCCATTTTGACCTTCTTCCTATTTCTCATGTAAATTTTAATAGCAATCAAACTAACAAACTTTATGGAGTCTGTAATAAACTTTTGTACTACTACTACTACGTCTGTAGTTTCTATTTGCTCAAAAAAATTTGCTCTGCATTGTGAATAGAAGGTTGATTTGTAAATATTATTGGGTATATATGTAAGTTAATAATAAAATATGAACAATTTCAATTGAGATGGTCCACAAGTTTTTTTCGTGTGCGTTTTAGTAACATTTTGCTGAAATGGTGAATACAGAATTTTTTGCACTGATTCCTAATGTCGAAATATGATTAGAAAGGCGTGGTATATTCCTGATAATTTACTATGCTTTTGATAGAATTTACAGCAACACATATCTTGTACGACATTTTTTGATAGATCAGTCACAATAGCTTGATACGGCCCTGTAGCGTCTCCTACGGTTAAGTTCTTGATCACGTGCAATACGGGTGTATATGTTTGATTTTACTTTGTTTCTTCGATGGATACAGTTTAATATCTTATTTTTGGATCACCCTGTATTGTACGGCTATAGATGAAAATACGTCCCCATAGAAATCAAAATTGATGTGTCCGAGCATTTTTCCCAAAAATACCAGGAGAGGCAAAAATGGAGGTGCGAACTTTTCGTTCGGCCACCCTGTATAACAAGAAAGTCTTGACTGGAGAAATATAGAATTGCTCAAAAGCTACTCTGATATTTTTTCGGTAACGTCCTTTGGGAGGAATCAGATATCTCATTTCCACATATTCTACGGCCTGTATAGTATCCATCCAAACCAACTCCAAGCAATTTAACTTGAAAGCCAACAACACGATATAATGAAAGGCTAATTTTGAACCGGCGGCACTTATACGTAATTAAGTGCATTAATGGAGATTGATGCCGTTTACTTACCCCTAGAAATATATTTTTAGACGTATCGAATCCCGCGGCGTATATCCTAGCTATCTTGGGATTGTTTCTATCACATAATATCCTACAGGCGAATCTCGATATCGTACTTTGATTGACTTTAGTTTCGCCTGTTTTATCGCCTGGTATAGTATCCATGACGACAAAGTCGATAGGCGATTCAGATGATCTGCCGATCTGCGAACAAAAAGATCTGTTATACGAGGGTGGACGGAAAAGTTTCCGACCTAAAAAAGATACAAAACATTTCTTCTGATTTCTGTTTTATTTTTCAACATAGTCTCCTTGAAACTCTATACACTTCTCCCAGCGATGCTCATGCAGCTGTTTCGTGCTTTTTTGGCAACAATGAATTTCAATATGGTTTTATAACGAACAGTAGCACACTTAGTGCGGTTGTTGATTTTGTGGACTGCATTTCAATGGCTCTAGATAAACAACAAATAGTTGTAGCTGTTTTCATTGACCTAAAAAAAGCTTTTGACGTAGTAAGCGTAGACATTCTTTTAGATAAATTGTTTAAAATGGGATTTAGAGGTGTTTCGTACAGCTTGATTAAGTCTTATTTATATGACAGAAAACAGTACATAAAGGTTGGAGACATTGATAGTGAATGGTTATCTAGCACCTATGGAGTACCACAGGGGTCAGTTCTTGGACCTCTGTTATACAGTCTTTATGTACTGAATCTCAAGTTGGCCAATCTGAGGGGAAGATATTTTACCTTTGCAGATGACACTGTACTGGTATATACTGGAACAGACGAAATTGCTTTAACGAATCTTATTAATGATGACCTGAATAGTTATCTTAAATGGCTGTTTTCGAATAGATTAAAATTAACATTGAAAAAACAAAATACATTATATTTAAACTAAAAAATAAGATAGTTAGCAATAATCTAAATATTAACATAAATAATATAGCGCTAGAAAAAGTGTCAAGTATTAAATATTTGGGATTACTGATAGATGAAAGTTTAAATTGGTCACTTTACGTAAATGGAATTTGTGATAAAATAGTTTCAATGCTATCTGCCTTATATTTATAAGAGTCGAGATTATTTATTATTATTCCATTGTATTATTGATATCTTCACAAAATAAAAACCAGAACTGCCCAAGGGCAAAAAATGAAAGGAACCTTGAATACAAATATTTCACTGACAACTCAAAATTAATATTTAACGCACAAACGGAATCGTGGGACGAAATTTTTTTAACAAATTCTTTAGACGAAGCTACAAATTTATTAATACACAAAATTCAAAAAGTAATTGAAGTTAGTACTAATAAGGTTAAAATAAGTCACAAGGAAAAAAGCAGAAATGATTGGATGACCAAAGGACTAATAAAATCTGCAAACGAAAAAGAAAGACTGTATAAAATCATGAAATATTTACCCACGAAAGAAAATATAGATCATTATAATCAGTATAAAAACAAATTTATAGAACTTTTGAGAAAAGCAAAAAAAATTACTATATAAAACAATTGAATAATAATTCACATGACTCTAGACACCTATGGTCCACTGTCAATGATATATTCAATAAGTCATCCTATTCAAAAAACAATATTAATGAAATGAAAACAAAAACAGGACAGAAAACAGACAATATTCAGCAAATATGTGATGAGTTCATAGAATTTTTCACGAATATAGGAGGAAACTTAGCAAATAATATCAAACAAAATGCTGATATTCATCTGCATGAAACAAGACTGAATAATTCATTTGTATTAACTGAAGTAGACTATCAGGATGTTTTCAATGCCATTATGACTCTAAAAAATAAAAAAAGCCCTGGAGTTGACGAAATTAGAGCTGAACATCTAAAGATACTGGCCAAACAAATAACAGAACCACTTGCTTATATCATTAACAAATCCTTCCAATCTGGAGTATTTCCATCAGCTTTCAAGACAGCAATCATCATACCTATCTATAAATCTAATGATAATACGGACGTCACTAACTATCGACCTTCACTTATATCAAGTTTAGCTAAAGTTTTTGAGAAATTACTCCTTAATAAAATGATTAATTTTCTTAATAAATTCAAAATTCTAAATTCAAATCAATATGGTTTTATAGCGGGCAAATCTACAACAGATGGGGTATTAAGTATAGTAGATGAAATAACCCAAAATATAGATGGAAAAGTACCATCGATATGCGTATTTGTGGACTTACAAAAAGCGTTTGACTCAGTTAACCACAATATACTTTTGGAAATCTTAGAAAGAATAGGTTTTCGTGGAAAGATGTATACTTTAATGGAAAATTATTTATCAAATAGACCGCAATCAGTAAAATTATTAAGCTCGTATAGTAAAGAAATGTTTGTTAAATGTGGTGTTCCACAAGGTACAATTTTGGGTCCTCTGTTATTCAATATTTATTTAAACGATATATTCAAAATTAACAGTACTAGTAAAATAGTCAGTTTTGCAGACGATACTGCTATACTCTATAAAGGTAAGGATTGGAACGACTTAAAAGATATTATCCAAAATGACTTTTGCAAAATTATTCAGTGGTTTAATAACCGAAAATTAACAATTAACTTTACTAAAACTCATTTTTTACCATTTTCATCACTATCTAATCATCTACCAAAATATAACCACCTTCGGTTTAAGGTAAATGATAAAAATATAAAAATCAATAGAGTTAATGATACAAAATATTTAGGAATTTATCTAGATCCCCACTTGAGATGGGATGTACATATTTCTCACATACTAAAGAAAATTAGATTCATAGCATATAAAATAAAATTTCTAACCGGTATATTAACTGAATATTATCTACGAATAATATATCAAGCTTTAGTCGAGCCACACATAACATATGATATAGTAGTGTGGGGTGCTGCATGCACGACATACTTTAACGATTTAGATGTACTTCAAAGAAGAATTTTAAAATCTATGTTAGGCAAATCAAAATTATACCCAACTAATGACTTATATAATGATGCACAAGTATATGATACTAAACAACTTTACTTCTTACATACCATCACTCATTATCACAAAACTATTAGTGAACACGACATAATTAAACATAATCATAAAACCAGATATAAATTACGCGCAAAAAAATGTTCCTAAACCAAACAAATCCCTAATGAAACGATGTCACCTGTATATAGCTCCAAAATTGTACGAACATTTACCAAATAATTTAAAACAATTACGCAATACATTAGGCTTCAAAAAAAAAATTAAAAAAATTTATTAACACGATTGGGAGAAATCAAATTAATAAAATAATCTCAAATATTACACAATAAATGCTCTACCATTCTTACCAATAATTTCTTTTTTCTCTCTATTTTATTATATTTTGCAATTCAACATACATATGATCCATGCACAGGCGTTGTCCTCCTATGGATATATTATATTTATTTACTCGTTTCATGTTCCCTGTATTTTAGAGTAAATAAATATTATTATTATTATTATTATTTGTCCAACAAAAGCAAATTTCAAATTTATAATGCCTTCTTTCTTACACATTTTAGGTACCTCTTGCCAGTATGGGGTATGTGCGGTGAAGTTAATTTTAATAAAGCTCAAGTTTTACAAAATAAAGTTCTGAAAATATTGTTTAATTTTGATTGCAAGTTCTAATACACTTTATTCAAATTTAAATTTAAACAAATTAAGAGTGTTATTGGAGGTGGAACAATGTAAACTTGTTTATAAAATTATAAATAATCTACTAAAAAGTAACATAAATATTAGGTTCTACCATAACGTGCATGATCACCAAACAAGATCACTAAATAATGTTTATCAATTTCCACAAGAACTAACATAGGTTTAAAAAATCCGATCACAGACGCAATTAAGAAATTTAATAATTTACCTCATTGTATAAAAGATTCAAATAACTATAGAAGTTTTGTTAGAGAATTGAAAGATTGTAAAATGTTAATGAATTTATTTGTTGAAATTATGAGCAACATTGCAGTGTACCTGTAGTTCATAGACATTAATTATTGTCTTGTTATTCTCGGGGCCAGTGTTTGCAAACACTGATTAGGGAATTATTGTTAAAACTGGTTATACTTTTTGTATTATTGTGTTTAAATAAATTATTTCAAAAAAAAAACTCATCAGCATAGTCTAGGCCTGGTCTCTCGGACAATGTAGGGAAGCATGGCAACTATCTTTTATCCACGATATTTCGATAGTGCTGAATATGATCCTTTATGAACTGATTGATGACGATGTTGCGTGGAAAGTGCAGAGTCAACCTACTTGACGCCATTTATATTAAAAAAGTGAAAATTAGTTTAGTTCCGGATTTAACGCTTGTAATTTTCATGAGCGCCAAAGCATGGTCATGCTATTATTCTACGATAATTAGGTAAATGTTCTGTTCTGATTTTTATATTGTATTCTTTCAGGTGGAATAAATATAATCAACGGTGTAAGTTTGTCAAGTTTCAAAGCGTGACAAAAACATTATGGTTACGAATCAAAATAAGAAAACCACTAGCATATTATTACGTTTAACGATAAAAAACTTTACTCGTTGGCTAACTCATCAAAATCAAGATTTCAAGCGCTGGCGACTAATGCAATAATAATAATAAACCGTCTTTTATTAGAAAAAACAAATTACAGATAATGCATATATTATTATCTATAATTAGATTAGTGAGCAGCTTAATGGCGAAATTTAGCTATGGCAGCTATCCTTACACTTAACCATTCACTGCATAAGAATAATAGATGTTAAAAAAGTACAGCTGTAAAGAAAATAAAAGAAGGAAAATGCCCATGTAACTGATCACAACCTAAATAAAAATTAGCTTAAAAATATAATGCTGAAGAAAAACACCTTTAAGAAGCACCATTGAGCAGAAGAGCTTTTAAGTGTTTTTTAAAACTATACAGCGGCAGACTTTTTGTTCTGTAATCTAAGCTATTGTACAACATGCATGCATTATATGAGAAGGACCTGTTAAAAACAGATGAACTATGAAGTGGCATTGTTAAAGCGATGTGTTACGGATATGTCGTTGATGAACATTATACCTAAAAATTAGTTTTTCACGTAAATAATCACTGATCAACAGCCAAAAAATATCCTAAATAAAATCAACAACATATTACTATTTTTAATGTGCTAAAACCGGAATGAAACTTATTTTTTCAATATTAGTTCAAGTTTTAGAGATACGGTAATTATATGTGTTCCTGCTGTGACAGTGTTAATATACTGTAATTCACAAGAATGCACGTGCTACATTTTTATATTCGGCAAGGAAAGATGATGTAATCGGCATGATTGTGTTACGTTATACATACGTGAACATTATATTGTTTTAGCCACTTTTTCCTCAGTTGGCTGACAGCGTTCATGCAAGATGTCTCGAAAGTGTGTAAACAATCCAGATCAGTTTTGTTACTTGTGTGGTGATGTGATTTTTGCGTCTATTACTCCACTAATAACAAAGGCATATCAGCTTTATTTCGGTTGTAAGCTAGGTGATCAAGACAAACAGTGGGCACCCCATATCTGCTGTAATACATGTGCTTCAAGTCTGAGGAGCTGGTTAAATGGCAAAAAACGGTCTATGCGGTTTGCTGTCCCAATGGTTTGGAGAGAGCCTACAAATCATATTAATGATTGTTACTTTTGCATGGTACCTTGTGTTGGACAAGCCACAGGTATGTCCAAGAAAAAAAAATCGGTTATTAACTACCCAAACATACCATCTGCGATGAGACCTGTGCCTCACAGTGACGAAAATCCTATTCCAAAACCCCAGAATCCTACACTTGCGAATCAGAAAACGAATCAGATCATGGCGATCGAGTGATTCGTCAGGAAGAAGATATGCCATCAATGTCAAGAGATCCTGATTTTATACCGAGCACGTCATGCCACCAGCCGCACAAAATAACACAGTCAGAATTAAATGATCTTGTAAGAGATTTAGAACTTCCAAAATGTAAGGCAGAGTTACTTGGATCAAGACTGCAGCAGTGGAACTTGTTAGAAGACGATGTTTCGGTATGTGTTTTTCGTAAACGCCACAAAGACTTAGAACCATTTTTCAATATGGAGAATAACTTGGTTTTCTGCAGTAACATTAACGGCTTACTGGCGGCTTTAAATATAAACTATAACCCAGAAGAATGGAGATTGTTTATAGACAGATCAACATTGAGTTTAAAGGCAGTGTTATTGCATATTGGAAATATTTTACCATCTCTTCCTGTAGGGTATGCAGTTCACATGAAAGAATCATATGACAATATGAAGTACCTATTGACATGCATAAAATACGATGAGCACCAATGGCATATTTGTGGCGATTTGAAAGTTGTTGCACTTTTACTTGGGCTGCAGCTAGGCTACACAAAGTTTTGCTGTTTTTTGTGTGGATGGGACAGTCGGGCAAAGGCACTTCATTACACCAGACAAAACTGGCCTGTTCGTCAATTCCTAGAGCCAGGTCAAAAAAATGTACCATATGCCATTAGTAGATTCGAAAAAAATTTATTACCACCACTGCATATCAAGTTGGGCCTAATGAAAAACTTTGTCAAGGCATTAGATAGAGATGGGCCAGCTTTTCAATACCTGCGTCAGAAATTTCCAAGACTAAGTGAGGCAAAGGTTAAAGAAGGTATTTTTGTTGGGCCACAGATTCGAAATATTTTGAAAGATACACAGTTTGAAAACACTTTAACAGGTATTGAAAAAACTGCTTGGAATGATTCCCGTCTGGTGGTCACTAATTTTTTGGGAAATAGAAAAGCTGACAACTATAAAACCCTTGTCAAAAATATGCTGTCATCGTATCAAAAGATGGGCTGTAATATGTCTCTTAAGATACATTTCCTACACTCACACCTGGACTTTTTTCCTGACAATTGCGGAGCCGTAAGTGATGAGCACGGCGAACGTTTTCATCAGGATATTTCAACAATGGAAAAAAGGTACCAGGGAAAGTGGAATCCTTCCATGCTTGCAGACTACTGTTGGACTCTTGTTAGAGATGCTCCAGAAACGATCCATAAAAGAACAGCAAAAAGACAGCGCATATAGTGATTCTTATAAGTATATGAATCTTGTTACTTTTTTTAATATATCCTTAAAAATAAAAAGTTTTTTTCTAAACCGCAACTAATTTTTTTATTTCATTGTCATTTTTGGATTCAGCGCCCCAAAATTAACAAAGAAGTGCACTTTTCCCACAAGATACAATTAAAAAACTAAAATTTGTTGTCCAGTGAAATTGGAGTTCCAGAGACAAGTAACTTATGTATAAAGGTTAGATAGTTGTATTTAACTAAATCTGTAAACTTTAACAAATCTATTAAAGAAACATGATCAAATTTTCTTAAACTAAATATGAATCGTACGCAGTTATTTTGTACTACAGATATTCTGTTACGACTTGCAACATCCAAACAAGGATGATAAACTAGATTGCAATAATTAAAAATAGATAACACAAAAGATTCACACAACTTTTTTCGCACTTTAAAGTTCAGCAAATTTTTGTTCGCATACAGAGTTCTCAGACGGATGTAACTTATTTGTAAGAGGTTATTTAAATGTTCACGAAGCCGCACGTTTTCATCAATAAACACACCTAGACACTTGACACTTTCTCAAGGAAGCTTTGACTTCGGCTCTTCTGTGATTTGGACAAAACAGCACAGCAGAAGATTTAGAAGCATTAACGGTTAGGCTGTTATTGGCTGAGTAGGTGCAAATAGAGTCAATGTCCTCGTTAATTTCCATAGTAGCAGTCTGGAGGTTCTCAGGATAAAAGAAGTAAAGCAGTTGAGTGTCATCCGCATAAGACTGTAGCTGTGAATTTTGAATGGACTTAGCAATATCGGCTACATAAATTAAAAATAACAACGGTCCTAAAATTGAGCCCTGAGGCACACCCTAAGTGATAAAGTGCTCATTTGACAAAACTCCAGAAAGTGAGACGCGCTGAGAACGGTGGGTTAGGTATGATTTAAAAAACTGCAGTGCTATTTTATCAAAACCATAAAATTTTAGCTTAGCACACATCAGTGCGTGATCAATTCTATCAAAGGCCTTGGAGAAATCCAGTGAAACTAACGCGACATACATTTTTTTATCAAGGGCCCTGATGATGTTGTCCACTGAATTAAGAAGAGCAGTTGTAGTACTGTATGATTTCCTAAACCCAGACTGGCAGTTTCATGAATTCTAAAACTTGTATTACCCCTGTACTAAAGATTTAATTATATGCATCGAGAGAAATCAGGAAAAAAGTTGATATTTCATGCTGTGACAGCTTGGTCAATATATTTTGAAATACTGAAGATAAGGTGATAATGGATTATTATTATTGGCAGTCGCTTTCTTTATTGGAGAAAGGCTTCATTATATGGCGCTGTACAAAATGACCTCATAATAAATGCTCATCAAGATTATATCCGGTATTGAATTGTCTTGTTTTTTAATTAGAAAATAATGTCAAATAAATAATCCTGGCGTATATGGTTCAGGCATTGTAGAATGCTTTTGACTTTTATTAGATCACAATCAACTGACTTGCAATCTCATTCCTTATTTGCTCTTTTGCGCAGAATATTCTACTTCCTGGACTAAGAATAATCGACAATAATTTACCTGAAACATATCCGTGTCCTCATCGCTGGTGTATTCCACAATGACGGCATGGTTCCTGGACAATGTGTACGATATAGAGTGTTGGTTGGCATCCAATATGGCCTGTGAGGAATGAGGTGTCCTCACCACGTAGTGCCTCAGTCTTTTCACTCCGTTCGCCACCGTCCGTTTGTAGAAGACGAATTTGCTACGCCTGCGCCCCTTGTCGCCTTGAGGTAAAAATCCATTATATCTGGAACAAAGATACATATTTATTTATTAATTAATTAGATCGCTTCGCACTTTTTTCTCATAGAGGGTGATCATGACCGAAGATTATAAATTTGCTTCTTTCAAAATATCGGACAATTTCAACTTGCTATCTTGACCCCGATCAAAAATAGGAAGAGGAATCTTCTTGAAAAGCACTGTATATCTAAAAATAGCGTCAAGTAGATTGACTGTACACTTCCTACGCCTTTGTTGGAGGTCTGAAAATGAGCAGTAATCTCTATAAGGTTGTAACACTATGTTCCAGCGATTTTGATATATGTCTGCAATTCCGCCGCCACTGAATCAATTTTCAAAGACTACTACCACCTAAACCTAAACGGTGTAAGTATTGAACTCGCGATAATATTCGAACTTAAGATCGCAAGTATTGTTTGTCGGTTTGTTATTCCGTGTCTGTTATATATGAATGCGTAATAAATACTGAGTCAATCTACTTGACGGAACATACAACCATCATATATTGGGTAACGTATAGGTTATGCGAAAGGGCGGCCGCATTTAAGAATCATAAAAAGCATCGCAGAACGCTAAGTGGTACTCTAATACTCAAATAATCCTAAAATATGTAAATATTCTCCTATAGCGAGTTAGTTACCTATTTATCGCGCTTGCTACAATAGGCAGTGGCACCCATGATTAGGAGCCTTTGAAACGACAAAAAACATATTCTTCGAGATGTTAAGGATGTTACAGGAACCATCATTAGTGTCAATCGAAATTTCAATTTCTTTAACCATCTAGTATTTTTTGACTACGTTTTCAAGCAACCAAAACGTCAATAAACAGAAAGCTGAGACTTAGGATTTTTTTAAATATTTTCTGTACGTCATGGGTATTTAGAAAAAATCATGATTAATTAACTAAAATCTGATATAATGACCCAACAAAAATCTGGACAAATTAATACCTTAAACAAAGACAATTACACCAGTGTTACACAAAATATCACATCATAAAGAAAATGTCTAAAATGGAGAGCCATTATAGTGGTTTTCATCATCAATACTGCCACTAAACTATACTAAGTGACATATAAATCCGAACACCCAGTTCAAATGGTTTTATTTTAATAAAATTTTGTATAAGTACTTAATGAAGCATAATAAGTAAATGATAAAAATTTCAAAATGATTGCACTGCTTTAAAGCCCTTTGACCTTTAATAATGTGTGGATGCACCCTGATGTGCTACGCATTCTCCAACGCGCCTAGGCATGCTTCTGATCAGGTGGTCAATGTCCTCCTGTGGTATCTCATTCCAGGCAACCACCAACTCCTCTCGAAGTGCTTCTAGAGTCTGAGGAGGACGTTGCAAATTGAGCAATCTCCTACCCATCGTATCCCACACGTGCTCAATTGGGGATAAGTCGAGAGATCTTGGTGGCCATGGTAACAATGTGACATCATTATGTTGAAAGAAGTCTATTGTGACTCTTGCAACATGTGGTCGGGCAATATCTTGTTGGAAAGTTGGATCTGCCAGGGTGTCAAGATAGGGTAAAAGATGGGGTTCTAGAACTTCGTGGATATAACGCTGCGCGTTCATGTTACCTCTGATGAAGATTAAAGGTGACCTGGAACCATAAGCTATAGCACCCCAAACCATAACTCCAACAGTGTGATGAACGTGTCTTTCAACAAAAAACTGTGGATTCCTCCTTTCACCACGTCGCCTTCTAACCCTGGCACGACCATCGTGCATGCCTAAACAAAATCGAGACTCGTCACTAAAGACAATACTGTTCCATTCCTGATCCCAGAGTGACCGTTGTCTGCACCACTCGAGGCGATTACGTCGGTGTTCGCGAGTTAAAGGGAGGACCCAGTGTGACCGGTATGAAAACAAGCCAAAACTTCTCATTCGTCGGTAAACACTTCGCATGCCAATAGGTCTTCCGTGTTCTGCAAACCATTCATTTGCAATGGACCTGGTAGTGGAGAAATGGTCCCTTAAGGCCAATAATCTTAGGCGGCGATCTTCACGGTCTGTTGTTCTACGGCGGCGTCCAGTGCCCCTTGCTCTTTGCGTACGGCCTTCTCGAAGCCATGCCTGACAACACCTAACCACAGTGTCTACACTTCTTTGCACTCTAACTGCAATTGCCCGAAAAGAAAGTCCAGCTTCCCGAAGTCCCACTATACGGCCCCTATCAAACTCACCAAGTTGACGAAATCGTACAGGTCTCCGTACTCTAGGCATCGTAACCGATCGTAAAGGTTGTCAAGAACCAAAATCCGCCAACGTTGATTCTTTACTGCGGCTGAAATATTCATTTTTAGAGTGTTAGTGAATTAAAAAAAAGCAGTATAAAAACCGGAATGTCCAACTGATAAGGCTGAAAATTTTTTCACTTTTTTTCACATTTACAGTAAGATAAATACATTCACCAACTTTTATTAAAATAAAACCATTTAAACTGGGTGTTCGGATTTATATGTCACTTAGTATATTAGTCTAATCATATTAGACGAAAATACCTCTGTTTGCAAAATAATTGTCAAGTCTGGTTTAAATGCTGCAAGTTGTTCAAGGGGATATCTGAAACATGCACGCATAACTTTTTACTATTAGTGGGATCTTTTTACGTGTGGTATCATTCTGTAGGTCTCATAAAACCTAAAAATCTTATTTGAAGAGTTTTTCTCGTTCCTGTCAACACTTTCGATTAAATCCCAAAAAACACGGTTTCTCATTTTTTGTTGTCGAATAAGCCCCCTTGAACAACTTGCATCAATAAAACCAGACTTTACAATTATTTCTGGGAAATTTGCTAATATAATTAGACTATATATAGCTTTTTCAATCTTAACCTTGAAAGCTTTAGGCAAAATTTTATCAAAAACAGGTTGTTCCTTTTCATGTTATTCAGCAGGTAAGGGTTGCTGGACAGAGGACGGAAATGAATAATATAACATCTAAAAAACGATGATTTTATTACGACTATGTATACAAGCAGTAAGTATACGACTTTAGTGAATAATTATGGATTAGCAAAAACCGGATGGCATTATCTTTATCTGCAAATAGTAAATATTAACATATCAACGTACCATCAATCAGCGGCCTTATTGTTACTCAACAAGCGTAGGAAATAATCTCTGAAACGACGTGTTGTAAAATTAGAATTACAATGTTGCTTTAATGATCTTGCATTATTACGAGTGGTTCCTGCTTAACATTTGGTTTTTAATCACGTTTCCAACGGATTGTCCTTCAAAGAAGCAAAAACGCTATTAAAATTGTATTGTAATTATAAATATGTATAGTTTGTTCAGAATAATATAAATAGATAAAATGTAAATAGTACAAAAATTGATGGTACGCTATTTTTTGAAATAACTCAAAATTTTTTTTGATGTAACAAAAGATGATGAACCAGTTGTAATACGTTTTATATCATTTTTTTTTGCAAAATAAAAAAAATCTGTACGTATTATGTACAACACCATGTACGTGATATACAGACAAAACTAGATTGCCATGCATGAACAGTCGTCAAAAACAGTGAAAACATCCTACCAAATATGATAGCTAGAAAATCGACCTATTATTTGCCGCATTCCCATTGGTCCCACTTAAATAACTGACCGCCTTTCCTGAAATGATACACATTTGAAATTCTATGAAACTTATCCTAATTCTAAAGCACAAAGACATGATATTACAGCAGACGCTCGATAACGTAAACACGGGATAATGAAAACTTGCGCTAATGTAAACACAAACTTCGTTCTATAGGATCAAACGGAACGCGCGATAACGTAAACAATGTGTACGCTCGATAACGTAAACAACTCTCGGCGCACGGAAACAGCGCGACGGTAAAATGCTGAAGCCTCGATGATTTATGTCGGGCGTCGGGGAGTCCCCGATTTATGATGTAGAGTGTAGGGGATTCACCTCTGCGATAAAATACGACAAACTCGGTCAGTCGTATGATCGTTTAGGATACGTTTATACGTACGTATGTATTTCATTTTTGATTTTAAGTGAATACATTGCACGCGTTACTATATTTTACGACTATGGCATCCACATCCTATAAAAGAAAGTGTTCAAAGTTGAGTGAGAAAGTGAAAATCATAGACGAAGTTGCACTAGGTGCGGGAGTGACACAGTTAGCAAAAAATATGGAGTATCGAAAGCAACAATCTGTAAAATTAAGCGTATGAAAACTCAAATTTTACAAAGAACGGGCAATACATTTGGAGGTTCGTACAACGATTCAAACAAGATATAGAATTCGACTGCTTTCTATATCTGGTGAAAAATTACACTGGACAACAAATTTGGTTTTTAATTGTATCTTGTTGGAAAAGTGCACTTCTTTCTTAATTTTGGGGCGCTGAATCCAAAAATGACAATGAAATAAAAAAATTAGTTGCGGTTTAGAAAAAACTTTTTATTTTTAAGGATATATTAAAAAAAGTAACAAGATTCATATACTTATAAGAATCACTATATGCGCTGTCTTTTTGCTGTTCTTTTATGGATCGTTTCTGGAGCATCTCTACCAAGAGTCCAACAGTAGTCTGCAAGCATGGAAGGATTCCACTTTCCCTGGTACCTTTTTTCCATTGTTGAAATATCCTGATGGAAACGTTCGCCGTGCTCATCACTTACGGCTCCGCAATTGTCAGGAAAAAAGTCCAGGTGTGAGTGTAGGAAATGTATCTTAAGAGACATATTACAGCCCATCTTTTGATACGATGACTGCATATTTTTGACAAGGGTTTTATAGTTGTCAGCTTTTCTATTTCCCAAGAAATTAGTGACCATCAGACGGAAATCATTCCAAGCAGTTTTTTCAATACCTGTTAAAGTGTTTTCAAACTGTGTATCTTTCAAAATATTTCGAATCTGTGGCCCAAAAAATACCTTCTTTAACCTTTGCCTCACTTAGTCTTGGAAATTTCTGACGCAGGTATTGAAAAGCTGACCCATCTCTATCTAATGCCTTGACAAAGTTTTTCATTAGGCCCAACTTGATATGAAGTGGTGGTAATAAATTTTTTTCTCCATTCTTCTGGGTTATAGTTTATATTTAAAGCCGCCAGTAAGCCGTTAATGTTACTGCAGAAAACCAAGTTATTCTCCATATTGAAAAATGG